TGTCACTCTCTAATTCTGTCTTTCAAACAAAATAAATCATAAACACAACAAAAAAAAATTTAAGTAGAATGATCAACGGTCCCATGCGCCTCCTCTCTCCTCTGTATCTGATGCACCTACTGCATCAGATTAATGTCATCTGAGAAGTCAGAGTTACACAAAGAGAGGAGAGGCAGGGAGAGAGAGAGGTCTTCCATCCAGTGGTTCACTCCCCAATTGGCCGCAACGGCCAGAGTTGTGCCGATCCGGAGCCAGGAGCCTCTTCTGGGTCTCCCATGCGGGTGCAGGGGCCCAAGGACTTGGGCCATCTTCCACTGCTTTCCCAGGCCATAGCAGAGAGCTGAATCAGAAGAGGAGCAGCCGGGACTACAACCGGCACCCATATGGGATGCTGGCGCTTCAGGCCAGGGCGTTAACCCGCTGAGCCACAGCACTGGCCCTGGCCTTCTTGATGCAGAGTCCTGAGGTGACACAGAGCTCCCATGTCTGTTTGGTCTCTGTCCCTCTGCTTATAAAGCCACCAGGGCCCAACCAGCAAATCCAGTCACTCTGCAGAGGCCTCACCTCTGAACACTGTGCTGGACTGAGTCTGCACACCAGTGTAGAGTGAGCGGGACTGAGTGAGTGCGAGATTTTTTTTGATAAGCTGCCCAGTTCCTAGAGGCAGCTCCAGGGGTCTCTGGGCCGTGGTCTGAGCAACTCTCACTGGGAAGCATTAGGGTGATAGGCGCTCTTCGTCCTCTCGTCACCACACCACCCACTTGGGAATAGTACGTGGAACCCTGGTGCTGGTGATTCGGTGTGGGACAGACATGCCCCAGGAACAGGGCCCTAAGGGTAGGCCTGCCTACCTGGTAATCATACATACCCCACATGCAGTGCCATCTTGCCAGCAGAGGATGGTGAACCCAAGGGGAGTTCACATCCGTGTCAGAAATGTGTTTTTCTCTTGCCCCAGTGTGATTTTGAACTTGAATTCTCAGGTCTCCTTATTTCATTAGTGATTGTTGTGTGCACTCTCATGTGCATCAGAAGCCAAAGCCAACATTGCCTAGCACTGTGGGCAGGGGCAAGTGGGCTTTGAAGGCCTCCTCAGACCATGCAGCTTTGCCAGACTGATATAGAGGGGTTAGGGGCTCACCTGGAGGACTGCATTCCTTTCTACAAGGAGAATGGCTTTGCTGTGTTCACAGTGGGCTTCAGCTGGACACACTGGATGGCCGAGGCTAGGATTTGGAGGCTCCAGCACACTCACAGTTGTGAGAATGCTGGCTGGCTGGCTGCTAGAATCCCCCTGCCTTGCCCCATGCCCCCCAACCCCTCCCTGTGGCTGGCTGGTGTTAATTGTGGTGGCAGATTCCAAGAACAGGTGTCCCAAGAGAACCCATTAGAGGCTGTGTTACCTTTCAGTCTGGGCCTAGATTCAAGGGGAGGGGCACAGATCCCTCCTCTCAATGAGATGAGGGTCTGGTTACCATGTGAGAGCAGGCAAGATAGAGTATGTGGTGTGTCCAGCTTGGGAAACACCCAAGGCCACACCCCTCAGCCTCTTTCCCACCTTCAATATCCCTCCTTTCAACGTTTTGACCTTTTTTTCTCAGATTTAGCCAACAGATGCTAATATTCCCCACATGAGTTTGGAGTTTCAAGGTTCCTTATGGGACTGACTCCAGGAACCTGTACTTCCTGCCTCACCTGTTGGCACAAACGCACAGAATGTCTCAGGAGCTCCACACTCGTGACTTCTTCATGGAATTTGGAAGTCAGCTAGCTTAGTATGTGCTTTGAAGAGAGTTCGGTTCACAGATAGAATACAGTAGTATAAATGAAGAGAAGTATATATCTGTGGTCAGGTGTTTTATTCGGATTAGAAAATGAACCTTTAGAGAAATGCAAATTAAAATCACATTGAGAGCCCGCCACACACTTGTCAGAATGACTGAAATGCAGACTTTGACAGTGGCAGATGCTGGTGGCACTGCAGAAAAACAGGGTAACCAGTACATTGCTGAGAGGAATGTGAAATCAGGCAGCCGTCTTGCCAGGAAACAGTTTGGGAATTTCTTAAAAAATGAACGTGTAACCACCCTGTGACCCAGCAACTGCCAGTGAAAACTAAATGCTCAGCAAAAACCTGCGCATGAGAGTCCAGAGCAGATTAGCAGTGGTAGTCCAAGCCAGGAATGACCTGGTTGAGGGCATCCGGTGAGACCACAGGGCTTCCACACCCTAGCACTGTTTCCAGCAGAACCCTGCAAAAGGTCTCCGGGCCGGGGGGCGGGGTCGTGAAAGCCAGTGACCGAGGCTGTGTTAGCTCCACTCAGGCCATATGCTTGGAAGGGCAGTACTGTGGCACTGCGGCAGGGGCCGTGCTGCCCAGCTCAGGCAGGGTGAAGGGGATGTGGGTCCTCAGTGCAGTCTGGGCCTGGACCCTGCCAGAGCCTGTGTGGCTCATACTATGCTCCGTGTGTCCAGATAGGTGAGGAATGCGAGAGGGGTGTGTGTGGGGGGGTCGATCGGTCTAGTGCTTCACATGCATACCACCAGAGCCAGCGCTGTGGCATAGTGGGTTAAGCCGCCATCTTATGTGCATAGGCATCCTGTATGGGTGCTGGTTCAAGTCCTGGCTGCTCCAGTTCTGATCCAGCTCTGTGCTGATGGCCTAGGAAAGCAGCAGAAGATGGCTCAAGTGCTCGGGCCCCTGTCACCCATGTGAGAGACCTGAAAGAAGCTCCTGGCTCCTTACTTTGGCCTGGCCCAGCCCTGGCCATTTGGAGAATGAACCAGAGAATGGTAGACCTCTCTTTCTTTCTCCCTCTCCCCTCTCCCCTCTCCCCTCTCCCCTCTCCCCTCTCCCCTCTCCCCTCTCCCCTCTCCCCTCTCCCCTCTCCCCTCTCCCTCTCCCCTGTCCCTCTCCCCTCTCCCTCTCCCTCTCCCTCTCTCTGTGTGTGTGTGTGTGTCTGTCTGTCTGTCTCTGTCTCTCCCTCTGTAATTCTGACTTTCAAATAAATAAAAAAATCTTTTTTAAAAAAATGCCTGCTTCCCACAGTAGTATACCTGAGTTCAAGTCCTGGCTGTGGTTCCTGCTTCTAGCTTCCTACCATCGCAAAGCATGGGAGGCAGCAGTGATGATTCAAGTATTTGGGTCTTTGCCACCCACATGGGAAACCTGGATTGAATTACAGGCTCCTGGCTTCAGCCTGGCCTACCCCTGCTGTTGTGGGCATTTGGGGAGTGAACCAGCAGATGGAAGATATCTCTGTTTCTCTCTTTTTCTCTGCTTCTCCACACCAGCCAACAAACTACACCAAAAAGTCCTTAAATACCTTGGTGTACCTTTTGATCAATTCCTAGTAAAACTGGTTCACTGACATTGCTCTTACTGACTGCTGTTAAGTTTTTGTTGTGGCCGGCGCCGCGGCTCACTAGGCTAATCCTCCGCCTAGCGGCGCCGGCACACCGGGTTCTAGTCCCGGTCGGGGCGCCGGATTCTGTCCCGGTTGCCCCTCTTCCAGGCCGGCCCTCTGCTGTGGCCAGGGAGTGCAGTGGAGGATGGCCCAGGTGCTTGGGCCCTGCACCCCATGGGAGACCAGGAAAAGCACCTGGCTCCTGGCTCCTGCCATCGGATCAGTGTGGTGCGCCGGTCGCATCGCGCCGGCCGTGGCAGCCATTGGAGGGTGAACCAACGGCAAAGGAAGACCTTTCTCTCTGTCTCTCTCTCTCACTGTCCACTCTGCCTGTCAAAAAAAAAAAAAAAGTTTTTGTTGTTATTTTTTCATTGGTCATCGGGGAGGGAAAGCTCAGTGTTGGGGCCTGCCCTCTCGGTCTCTGCCTGCTCAGTCTCTCCTGCCTTGCCTGGGGATTGTGCCTGTGAGGACCTTTACTCACAAGGAGCTCTGACAGCCCTGGGTCCTCACTGAAGGGTGGATGCTCTGCCGGCAGACACAAAGGGAGATGTGCGCCACCTAACAGCCGGTATCCAAGTAGGACTAGTTTTTGTCAGGTCTCTGCTTCTGAGGGATGTGAAACATGTGAGGTTTGTCTGGTTGCAGGGTGCCCTGGAAGGGCAGTGGTGGTGAGAGGGAATCGAGTCCATAGTTGGGAGGAGGCAGAGGCTGGGATGGGACCAAAGTAGGAGGTAAGAGGCAGTGGGACCTGTGCGGTTCCACCCAAGGTGTTGTCAGGCCAGAAACGGAAAGGGGGAGGCGTAGAGCCACGAATAGGCATTTTCTGAGATGGAGCTTGTGTGTCTGATGGCCCTGAAATGTCGGGCATCCAGTGGTCCTGCCTGCAGCCCACGCAGGAGGAGGGTCTGGGAAGGACTGAGGGAGGCTTCCTGGGGGAAGTGACTTTTATTTAGAGAGTTGATTTCCTGACACAGAATCTGGCACCCTTGGTTTGCTGCCCAGAGCCTGTGGTGGTGACTCTGTCATGTTGAGTTAGGGTCAGGAGGGAAAGTACTAGAAATAGCCATATTTTGACCTTATATTTGTGTCATTTTAATTTGAGTACATTAAACGGAGAGCATTATCAGTGATAAATTCTGTTTTATTTTATTTGAGAGGCAGAGAAAGAGAAATCCTCCACTCATTGGCTCATGCCCCAGATGCCTTGGGGCCAGGCCCAAGCTGAGAGCTGAGAACTCACTCTTGGTCTTTCTTGTGAGTTGTAGGAACCCAAGCACTGAAGCCGTCACCACTGTCTCTCAAGGTGCACATTAGCAGGAAGTTATACTGGAAAGCAGGGTAGGGACTGGAACCCAGTGCCCACTCCTGTGACACAGTCTTCCTCTGGCTTAGGGCAGCTTTAACTGTTCAAGACTAAATTTGCATGCAGGTCATCCAGCACATGCCCACCCTGAGCTGGAGCAGGTGTCACCACCTCCCTAGCCTCCAATCTAGAAGGTCTTACCTGTCGGATTCCACGGTTTCTGTTTTCTGTCTGTGCACGCAGGGGTCTGACATGCCCACTCTCATGCCTTTCTCTTACATTCTTCTCAGATCATAGGATGCCAAGTGAGGAGAGAGCCCCCGAACTCCACTGAACGATACACGCGTTGGGTCAACCAGCTAGCACCTGACCAGCTTCTGACACAGGTACCCTTGCGCGTGCAGTTGTTGTGCGGTGCCTCTGCTCCCTCCTGGAGCAGTAGGCGGAGCTTGTGTGTGGCTGTAGCCAGCCATCAGTGCGTGGTCTGGGCATGTTCACTGCTGTTCACATGGCGGTTGATAGGCAGAGTGTCAGGAAGGGCCAGCTGATTGGAAACACTGAGCAGCTGCTTTGTGAAGTGATGCTTCAGGCCAATGCTAGTTATGCCCAGAAAATCAGCTGTGAGGCCATGGCCATGGCCAGCCGGGGGCCCATAGTCGCGGAGTTGCTGATGGGAGACTAGCCATGGGGGTCATCAATGGGGACTGCCTGGGGTCTGAAAGGAGGGTGTGGACATTGTTGGATCCGTGTCTGTGTCTTGTGCCATGTCAGGACAGCCCTTCCTGCACAGATTGGCACACTGGGCCAGCGTGGGCTGCAGCTTCCCAGCCCCATATTTCCGTTGTGGGCTGTGTACTAGGAGTGTTAGGACGTGCTGTGTAGTGAATTCATGGCAGTACTCAGAACAGGACACGTTGCTGTCCTGTAAGTGCAGGCCCCTCTGGGCAGACAGGGCGCTGTGGTCTCCCGGCAGGCCAGGCTGCTGCTGCACTGACCGGAGAAGGAGGTGCTCTTCGCTTCAAGACAGACCTCACTACGAGTGATTTTCAGGAGCAGACTGTAGTGTGGGTTCATGATCTGCCACGGAGGGTCAGGTTTTGTACTCATAAACATTTGTTTTTATTTTTGGTATTTCTTAATTAAAAGAAGTTAATGTTTCTTTATCAGTTATATAACTGTATCTACTTAAACAATTTAAAAGCATTTGTAAAAAGTATGCTTCACTTTTATAAAGAAATTAAAACAATATTAAAACACCCACAAAGAACAGAGTGTTGCCAAGCCCAAAACCTACGTGCTAGTCCATGTGAACGATGGCTGCCATGTTGACAAACCTCCTCCAGGTGTTTCCCGTTTGGGGCTCATACAGCTGTCACTAGAGCCCCCTGATCTGCCACTTGGAGAGTGGTGGCCGTTTTCATGTCACGTTTGCTGTGAGGCCGTGATAGGCATCCAGGCCGTGATTGTCTGAAATATCTCTGAAATTCCCTGCGTGTCTCAGAGGCTGCTGTCAGCAGAATAAAACATTGTTTCATAGAAGTGAGCTAGTTTAGGTAAGGATCATGTTCCCTCTGAAGATCTCAGGAGTGATCTGTTAGGCAGGTCCAGGCCACCGTGGAGCCCAGTCTGCAGGGGAAACGGCAGCTCCTTCTCACACTGGCCCGACGGCTGCAGCAGGCTGGTGCAGTTTCACCCCCCAACACACACGTACCAGGTGCTTCGTGGCCGCCATGTGGCATCGACAGCCTTCCACCCGAGCATTCCTGAAGGCTTAGTGATGTCAATTCATCTTCAGAGGGCCACGTAGCAACACCCTGTGGAGGGGCTTCTGGCTGGGTCACGAGTTCCAGGATTCTTTCCCACAGAGCTGCCCTGCAGGACTTGAAGTGTGCTCTGCTGGGGAATCTTCTCACACACAGCGCGTGCTGTGCTCGTACGTCGGGCAGCCTGAGGTCGCCCTGCAGGTGGAGCTCCTGCTGGGCGTGCCGTCCTCTGAGGCATCTGTGTCTGAGTTCAGTGGTGATGACCCAGGAGTGTCTTTCCATGGTGTGTGGTGGGGAGAGACTCCCTCCATAGGAACGTCAGTTTGACTGCCGGCCTTCACGTGGCGCTACTTTGTGCAGTGCAGAAGCTGGCAGTTTGTTCACCTGGACCCTTGCTTCCCATCATCCCAGCCCCAAACCTGACAAGTCAAGCTCTCAGTTCCACTTCTCCCTCTTGTGGAAATGTGGCCCTTCCTAAGGCAGAGGGCCTGGGGCACCAGAACCAGCTCTGTCTGGTTGGCAAGTTGTAGAGGTAGGGCCAGCTCTCAGGCCCTGTTACCTGACACCGTCTTTTGTGGATGCCTGTCCTTAAGAGTGTTTTGGGGGGGGGCGGGCAAGCAGAGTTAGAGAGTTATAGACAGTGAGAGAGAGAAAGGTCTTCCTTCCGTTGGTTCACTCCCCTAATGGGCCGCTACGGCGGGTGCTGCACCGATCAGAAGCCAGGAGCCGGTACTTCCTCCTGGTCTCCCATGCCGGTGCAGGGACCCAAGCACTTGGGCCATCCTCCACTGCCCCCCGGGCCACAGCAGAGAGCTGGACTGGAAAAGGGAGCAACTGGGACTAGTACCCGGGGTGCTGGCGCCGCAGGCGGAGGATTAGCCAAGTGAGCCACGGCGCCGGCAGAGTGTTTTGTTTTTTAAGTTTATTAGACAGAAGAGAGAAGAAAGAGAAAACACCTGCCCACTGATTGACTCCCCAAGTGCCGAGAGTATCGCTGCATGGACAGGGGAGTTGAAGCTGGGAACATGCAACTTTAATCCAGTTCTTCTGTGTGGGTGCCATAGACCCAGGCAATTGAGCCATCACCGTCCTCCCTGTCAGGGTGCGCATTAACAGGAAGCTGGAGTTAGGATTGAAGCTGGGACTCAAACCTAGGTCCTCTGATGTGGGATGCAGGTTTCGTAACCAGCAACTTAGCCACCAGATTAAATGCCCTCCACATCAGGATTTTTTAACTCAATATTTAGGAAAATTTTAGACATTATGGAAGGAAAAGAGTACTGCAACTTCTTCACCCACCTTCAACTCTGTCCTCGTCTGCTCTGGTCACCTGCGCCTTGTCCATCCCTCTCCCTGCCCAGAGTTATTTGGGGCAAATTCTAGAGCCACATGGTTCGCCTGTGAGGATCTAATCTGCAGCTCCACAAAAGCGTTGCTGTCACACCTGGCAGGTGAATGCCAGTGACCGAAGTCTGTGTCAAGAGCTGTGTGTTTCTCACAATCATTCACACGTTTGTTCATTTGAACTGTGGTCCAGCAAAAGGGACAGCTGCTTGAGAGTCTCAAATCTTTATTTTTTTCAGGTCATCCTCTTGCTTTCTGTTTGGTTTACCATTTTCTGTAAAAGGGTATTTGCAAAGTTACACAAACGAGAGCTGAGGAAGCAAGGTGTACCTCCTGTTTCTGCTGTCATCAGTGCATGACTGACATTTATCCAAGATCATTTTGTCCATGTCTGTAAAAGAAAAGGATTCTCGGGGCCGGCGCTGTGGCGTAGCGGGTAAAGCCACCACCTGCAGTGTCAGCATCCCATATGGGCGCTGGTTCGAGTTCAGGCTGCTCCACTTCCGATCCAGCTCTCTGCTGTGGCCTGGGAAAGCAGTAGAAGATGGCCCAAGTCCTTGGGCCCCTGCACCCATGTGGGAGATCCGGAAGAAGCTCCTGGCTCCTGGCTCCTGGCGTCAGATCAGCGCAGCTCCGGCCATTGTGGCCAACTGGGGAGTGAACCAGCAGATGGAAGACCTCTCTCTCTGCCTCTCCTCTCTCTATGTAACTCTGACTTTCAAATAAATAAATAAATAAATCTTTTAAAAAATAAAAAGAAAAGGACTATCAACAAGCACGGGACCCTTACCTCATCTAAGAAACTGGCAGACCCTTTAATATCTCTGTGTGCAGGCAGTGTCTGGGTCGCCTCGCTGAGCCTGCTTCCCTTCTCTCCTTCCTGTTCGTCCTCTGTCTCTCGTTTGAGTTGGGATCCACACATTTGTCGTTGTTGATTCATTTCTTTCACTCTTTAGATTTCGCCTCCATTGTTTTTCTTTTTCCATGAAATACTTTGCTGAAGGTGTTGGATAATTTGGTCGTCAGCTCCATCAGAGGTGAGAAATTTGTTCACATCCTTCTCAGCCCTGGTTTTCTTGTGCACTGGTACTGAGGTCAGACTTGATGAGATCTGTGGCTGTTGGTCTGTTTGTCTTCTGTTTACTTTTAAACAGCTTTGTTGATATATAACTGATGTAAACTGCACCAGTTTCAAACGTACCATTTGATGGGTTTTGACAGGGGCCCTCACGGCAAGATCTAGAGACACACAGTCCCCCTGAGCCTCAGTGCCCACCCTTCCGTGTTGCCTCCACTCTCTCTGTGATGCCAGCTGGTCAGATGAGTGTCCCAGGAAAAGAACCATTTGTGCTGTGGATACTTCTGGTTAGCTCCTTTCCTTCACAGTCATCCTGTTGAGAGTCTTGCATGTCGTTTGCTGATTAGAGTTCCTGCGTATTCACTGAGTGTTCCATCATACACACCCCTTCATACACACAAGAGCAGCTGCTGAGTCACTAACAGGAATTGGGTGAGATGTGGAGAAATTGGAAGCTTTGTGTACTGTTGGTGGGAACGTAAAATGGTGCAGTTGCTGTGGGAAACAGGATGGTGCTTCCTCAATATATCAAAAGTAGAACTCATGACCCAGCACTTCCACTTCTGGGCTTGTATCCCAGGTAATTGGATGCAGGCTGTTAAAGATGTGTGTGCACCCACGCTCTGAGCAGCTTTGTGCACTAGAGCCGCAGGATGGGAACAGCCCAGTGTCTGAGTGAGCAAGCTGTGGTGGAAACCAGTGGAATGTCAGTCAGTGTTATTTCTTTAAAATGAATGAAATTCTGAAATACGCTACATGGATGAACCTGGGAGTGTATATCTGTATGTGTGCCTGGAGGCTGCACTCGTCACAACTGAATGGGGGTCAGTGGTACCCACACGGGAAAACTCTCCCACAGGGTTGTCGTCTTTTCTTACAAAGTCTGCTCAATAACAGTTTTGCACTTTGAAGCAAGGTTAGGCTCACAGGGAAGTTACAGAAATGGAACAGAGTTCCTGTGTGCCTGCCCCCATTCCTAGCATCCTGTTTAACTGCAATGGTCGTAAAGCCCAGAGGGTTCAAAAGGGTGTGAAGCAGAGCCACAGCTCTGGATTCACAGGGCGGATGCAGGGCTACTCCCACTCCCCTGGGGCTGCCCTCAGGCGTGCTCTTTCCCACCCTGTCTTCAGGTGTTGGGGGGCTGCCATAACAAAAATGCCAGCAGGGGTAGCTTCTGAACCACAGCCTTTATGTCTTCACA